TGAAGGGAAGCAGGAGTGAAAGTGCTGCAGGCCATGGGGGTTCGAAATAGAATCTTGGAGGCCCTGGCTGTCACTTTGTGGTTGGGTGGCTTGGGCTTGTATCCAGGGAGCGCTGTTTCTTTCGGGGTGGCGAGTCCCCATGAAAACAGCCTTGCAGAGTGGTGCTGCTTCAACGATGTGCGACAACACTGGTGCTAGCTTGCTACAAGAGGAGCTCATTGCGCTGGCACATGTTGTCTTCCAGCGCGAAGAGGGTTCCCGACCTCTGGAGCAAAATTGAAGAGGTTGTTGGTTGGCTGCGGGGAGGCAGGATTGACTCAGTGAGTTTTCGTTGGCCTATCAGCGTGCGACAGGTTGCAAGGCTTTGGAGGCTTCCCACACCTGCTAAGGGCGAGTTCTCAAGGCGCAAAATGCCTTGGGAGCAATGGAAGCGGCTGTTTTGAGCCGCATCTGGAATTCACGGCGCCTGTTTTGCATGTAGTCCTTGAATAATCCCTTTCGCCTTTCAATGCATGCGCCCGATTAAGAACTAAGGCTGTTCCGAAACGGCCGGGTCCCCAATACTGCCACTTTTAGATTCGGCCATTTCAATACCAATAGTAAACTGTCGGATGTCTCGCCCAGACCGGACTCAGCCTTATTACTACGGGGTAATTCGTCCAGGATCTACAACCAACTTGAGCAAGCAAGAAGCTCGAGTTCTTTTCAGGGTTCCCTGCCTGCTGCCTCCCTCAAACCATTTTTAACAACAGGTAGACTCAGGGGGGCTCCCTGTGCTGCCTGCACTGTCTATGCAACAAAGTGTTTTTTCCTTTCAAAGCTTGTACTACAACCCACTTGAAAAGCTCAGGTTTTGGCCCGCTTCAAATGATGAGTATATTCTCGTTTGGGGGAGCGCATTTGACCCCTAAGTACCCTATTAATAAATATAGGTTGCCCCCCAGCCAGTATTTATTAATAGGGAGGATCCGTGTTTATAATTACGGTGAAGGGATTGTCTTCGACACTTGCGGGCAACCGCTATATAAGTCCAGCTAAGGCTGACTTTACACGAATCTGGAAGGGTGTGTTCCCTTGTCCTCCAAAAGCAACGGCTTCCTTTTCGCGGGCTTCCTTTTTGGCGTAAGAAATCAAACGGCAACGAATAGATCTGTCGCACACGGAGACGCCTCTGGCCAGCGAGGCACCTATGAGGTACCGCTGAACAACTGTGGCGAGGAAGATCAGCGGTCAGACCTGGCGCGACTGAACTTTGCAATGCTGGACGCCGTCAAGGGGCTCCGAAAGGACCGAGAATGGAGCCCATGAGGTAACCCAGAATTGTTGATGCGTGATGTGCTCAAACGGACACCAAGAGTCTCTTGCCAAGAGATGATGGAAGATTTGACCAAACTTTAGAAACACAAGGTGACGTCGAGGTGGTTGACCCGTGAATTGGGTCTAGGGTTCCTATCGTCCCTTGGTGACCCGCCAGGGTGAATGCTGCAAAGCCACGGGTCGCCCATGCAAGTAAACGCAAATGCGCTGAGCCGCAAGACTTTCAAAGGCTCCTGTCACCCTCAGGTTTCGATCCGTTGCCATACGAGTTGCGTTGCCTGTAGGACGCAGTCGAGAGGCTCTTGGATTCCAAGGCGGATGTGAATTTCCAGGATCGCAATCTTTGGCTGCCTGGCGGGTAAAACGAAACCGGCCCAAAGATGGGTTTCAGGTTGGCTTCCTTGCAAAAGTGCCACGAGGGTCCCCACACATTGCTTCAGCGTGCTGCAAATTCATTGCATGCCAGAGCACAAAATTCACACCCAGATGAGGTGAAATGCAGCAGCGCGGCAGGCTTTGGCTTCCATTTGGGGATGCCCCTGAAAAAATAGAGGGGCAACCCTTTTGCAGGCAGTGCTTTTGTTTGGTAATTGCTCTGGCCAAGACAATGGGTACCATGAAAAAAGACAAGCCCTGCGGGTTGAAGAATTGGAGCCGCCACATAACGAGACTTGCATTGCGGAGTGGCGATGTTGGTCTGTTGCAACATGAGTGGCTCTTCATGCAGCTGTCATATTCCCCAAGGTCAACCATTTTGGAATCGAGCATGGGCATGTTTGCGTGTACCATGAAAGGGACAGCCATGTTTTGAATCAACGGGATTTGTTGGTGAGCTTCCGACGGTCGTGGCAGTTGATGGCCTTCAGGTCCGCAGCCCATGAGGCGGCCCGCGCAGGGGACCTGGACACGCTGCAGCTTCTCAGGCTGAAAGTAAGCGTCACAGGGCCTGGAGTTGGATGTCATCCTCCACCCCGGTTTGGCATTTGACTTGCGGAGGCGAGTCTGTCTGGGGACCTGTTTCAGTGGGCGCAACTTTTGCAAGCTGCTTATTGGCTTGGACTTTGCTTGTTGGGCAAATTCGCTCAGGACGCGAACTTTTGCGGCAACTTGCTTTGAGCTGCATGCCCACGTGGGGACTCTGGTAACGAATCCATGGGCTCTAGGGAGTTTCCCCAGGCTGCGGTCCCAATGGTTTTGGTTGCTTTTTGGTGAATGACGCCTTGGCCCTGGGCCTCCAGCTTCACGCCGGGGCAAGCCACAAGGCTACTCGTCGATCACAGGGCCGACCTGGGCGCCCGGACGCGACAGAGTCACACCGTGGAGGACTTGGATTGTCCGGAGTTGAAGCAGGCGCTAGAAGACTGCCCAAACCACGCGGGGAAAATGGACGAAAAGGCTGTAGTCGCTGAAGGGTGACTGCATATGTCCCTTGTCTTAGGGGGCTGCTCACAAGCGGGGAACTGGCTGCGAGGCGTGCCAGATATGTTCAGATGCGCTCGCAGCATGTGATGTTCTTCATCGTGATGAAGGCAGCCAGCTTGGATCTGTTTCAGACATCAAAACGGCAAAAAGTGGCCAAACAACGACATCAATCGACCTGTACAGTAAACAGATCAACATGTTCTGCAAGCAACCAAGCTATCAAGCAACAGGCCAGGCAAGCAATAGGATAAAATCTAGCAGTCAATCAACTGGGCAAGCAAATAAGCGCGCAAGACAAGCAAGCAAGCAAGCAAGCGCAAGCAAGCGCAAGCAAGCACAAGCACGAGCACAAGCACAAGCACAAGCACAAACAAGCCAATCCAAATGAAACAAACAGGCAAGCAGACAAAAGAAACACTGTCGAACACGTGTTATGCACGCGCATGCCAAACACCTTGAAACGCATGTCAAGCATACTGGCAAAACAACACATTTAAGCCAGTGCCATGGCATTTGGGTGTTTCATTTGCATTTGGGTGTTTCATTTTCTTGGTGTTTGTGGCTTCTGTTGGGCTTTGTGTGTGTTTTAGGCTCTCCTCACACATATAAATGTGTGGATTATCATGGATTATCATATATACATAAATATCTTTTGCTGGGACCTCAATGAGAAGCAAAGTTTCTAGATGCTATTTGCCAGCGCCTAGGTCAAATTAGTGAAGTCTTTAGCTTGTTGCAAGTGCTTAGTTTGGATTCAAAACGCACACTAGCTGCCTCAGCTTGAAACTCAACACGTTGCAGCCAGCCAAGCATTGCAGCCTGTTTGCGCAATTCCTCAAGTTTGGGGCCATACCACAAAACCCACTCTGAAGTCACTGGGGGAACCAAAGAATTTGTTAAGTGGGGTGCGCCCTGGCTCATCTTCAACCTCTCCACCGTCTTCTTCGCCGTCATCCTGCCTGGCAAGTCTGGGCACTCAGAATGCAGATTGGAATGCGAAGGGGGCTGGGTTCCACTTGCCTTGAGTTAGTCAATGTTTCTTAAGAGGAGGAGCCACATTGAGCTGTGTGTGAGCTGGACCTACCCCTGAAATCCAGAGATGCTGGTCAACTCTCCCTTTTTCATAGCGATTTGATTTTACAATGGCAAGGGGTGAACAAGAGGCTTTTTATTGACTGGTCAGCTAGTGAGTTATAGGAGTTCCCCACGTGGGCCTTCACTGAACAATTGTCACACAAGTTCCTCAGGCCCTGTGGGCCGTGTATCATTGAAGTTCCCAAGAAGGTCCAAAGCACCTTTGCAAACACAATCGCCTTCTAGAGCTGGGTGCGGGCATGCTGTGTCGTGTCAGCAGTGTCATGTCATTCCAAATCCCCTGACGATGTTGGCATCAACAACGTTTCGCGAGAGTACAAAGGCACACAAAGGCTGCCTGAGTTGTCAAGCGATGCAACTGTCAAGCGATGCAACTGTCCTGTCAAGCGACGCAACTGTCCTGTCAAGCGACGCAACTGTCCTGTCAAGCGACGCAACTGTCCTGTCAAGCGATGCAACTGTCAAGCGATGCAACTGTCAAGCGATGCAACTGTCAAGCGATGCAACTGTCAAGCGATGCAACTGTCAAGCGATGCAACTGTTTTTAGTATTAAAGGTTGTTCTGTGGGTGATTGGTTGGAGCAAACATTCGTGCGTGACAGACTGATTTAGCAAGCACTTTCGCTTTCCATCCATCCACGTCAACACGAGCGCCAAAAAATCCGAGGCCAGGAGAAGCCAGGAGAAGCAGAGGCATGCCTGGGCGGCTGGGCGGTGGCGGCGTTGGTTGGGGCGGATTGGGCTGGTCGGGCCCGGGGCCCGGCCAGGAAGTATGAAAACCATAGGCCGAAACGGCCATGAAGTAAGCAAATAGCTCTAAAGCATACTTGTTAGGTCAAGGTCTTCCATTGCACAGGGGCAGTTGGCAGTAGCCTTAGCCATGTTTGGCTGACGACAAACATTATTCTTTCCTTTCGTGTCGTATGGTCACCACACAGTTTGAATACTGGTTGGTCAGATCTCAACAAGTAATGATTAGTCAAAATGTTGAGGCCCAAGTGCAGCAAGGGTCAATGCTGAGGCCCAACTGCAGTAGAAGCTTCATGGAAAACGCTTTTGCAAGAGCCTTGAAAACAGCTGTAAAAAACAGCACAGTTGCCCTCATTTTGTTGTTTGGCCTTAGACAAGGAAATGAATGTCTGTGCCAAGCTGCCAGGGGCCAGAGGTCACTGACCACGCTTCTTGAGCTCGCGGTCAATATCCGCCCGCGCTGCCTTGAGCTTCTTTGTGGGCAACTTCGACCAATTGGAGGGCTTGTTGGGGATGTCAATCTCATCAACGGCCCTTTTGACGTCCTTCAAGGTCAGCTGCCCATATCGCAGATGCACTTTTACGCTCCCAGGCGCATGTCTCCTTCGTTTTCAGCTTTTGGCATGGGCTCAGTCGGAGTGGAATTTCATCATCAGTCTCGTTAATATCACTTTTCTTGGCCCTAGTTACGCAATATGCACTGGTTTGCCGAAAACAGGCATCAGTGATATATTTGGAAGGGTTCAGGTTCAGACAGCCAAGCTTTTGTCATGGTTGCCTATGTAAAGTAGTGGTTGCCTGACTGCTTCCACACACCTTCGTTGACTGCAGAGGTCTTTTTGCGCAGAGTGTAGGCCGAGCCAATTTGCTTGGCATCCAATGGAATAGACACACCTTAAAAATAGCATTTGGTAGGGCGTTTGCGTCGTGCTGAACTACAAGTGGCTTGTTTGAATTTCAGTACAAACGCACGGTTTGCAATGGCCCCACTCAGTACAAGACTCACTGCTTTTTGTTGTAAGCCACGCTTTCCAAAAGAGAAATACTGACTTGCAGTAAGTAAGGCCAAGCCACGCGAACTTCATGCTCATGGCTGTGCTTAAGCCCTCGCCCATCAATTCGGTGATGAGAGTTGCTCGGCCAGAATGTGGTCGGAGTTTGGCGTATTCCTGTTGCCAATTCTTGTTGTTGTCCCTGAGGTGTTGCAGGAACAAAGGGGCCTGCTTCTTGATATGGCTGTAGACGGCGTGATAGTGGACGTGGTCATTCTTGGCGTTCTTGCGGCTGGTAAAGAGGAAGCCACTCTCTGGCACCTTGTAGGTGTCCTCTACCTCGATGACTTTCCTTTTCTTACTGCCTGATTTGATCGTCCCATGCTTGTGCCCTTTTTCGCGCTTGACGGTGTAGCCATTCTTCAGGAGGGACTTCAGCCAGTGGACGTGTTTCTTGCGAACATACACATCACCTGGTGACTTTTTGCCTCCTGGCGTGTCACCAGTGACAATGATTTTTGGGATATCCGCTTTCATGGCGATATCCTCACGCTTCAGGGTCAAGGCCTCTGAGCAGCGAAGCCCAAAGTTGCCGGTGAAGCTTAATATTACAGCCATGCGTGCTCCACAATTGCGTCCTATGAATTTAATCCAATCTTCCCATGCTGGTCTACTCAGAGCAGGGGCTTGGCCCAACTTCTGTTTCCTCTTTTGAGGAGGCATTGCTTCCAACTTGGGCCACGACAAACTGCAACACAATCTGCAATGCAAAGCCACCATGCAACCTCACTGCAAATAAAGTTGAGGCCCAGTTTTTGATCTTACGCAGTCACACATCGATTTTGTAATACACGCCTATGATTGGTTGAACCTCAGCCACCTTTTGATGTATCCTTTCGGGGCCAGCATTCAGTGGGTGGGAGCCAGGGTTGAGGCTGGAAAATCATAGCTACTTCCAATAAATCCTCAATGGGCTTGGCATGGGGCTTCAACCAAAAGCACTTTTAGATGGATGCTATGTTGTTCAGCACCCTTTGTTGTTCAGCCAAGCGTTTCTCACGAAAGGACTAACTGTCTTTGTCAAAGTGGTCTCTATCATAGTCTGCAAAAACTAGGCGGGCAGGGCGTGCAGGGGAACCACGTGAGGGCAAGCGATTGACTTTCAACGTCAAGCGATTGACTTTCAACGTCAAGCGTATGACAAAACCGTTCCAGTGATTGACGAAAAATTGCCACTGCCTGATCACTGTCAGACTATAACAATACAATTCCCAGGGCCCACAAAAACAGGCACGTCAACCGCCTGGCAGTCTCTGTCATCCGTGTTCACGTCAAGCACCTGGCGGGCAGGCCAGCGACTCAGTGAGGCTGGCAGCTTGATTGGCGCATGGTGTCAAACACTGTTCCAGGATCAGCAATGAATTGTCAGAGTTGTTGTGAGTTTTCACATGCTCACAGGAAAAGGGTGTTGCAGAAACTATTTTTCTCATGACGCGAAATCCCAATCTGCATCAGCTTTCCAAACTGCAATGGTTGGCCACCTTCTTGCATTTTAGGTTTCGGCCAAGTTGGTTGGGTGCACATTCTGGCAAATCAATATGGTCCACAAACAGGCTCAAAAAAGCCCCTTGTCGACTCATGTATTTTAAGATGTTGCTCGCAGCAATTTGAATTGTTTTTTTTCAGGGTCAGCTCCACACATTATCTGCAATCTGTTTGTGGGGGGGGGGGGGCAGGGCATGCCATAAAATCAAAGAGTTTGGACATAGGTATCTCACGCCTGCCTGCCTGCGCGTGCCTAGGCCAGAAGCTTCGCGAGCTGAGCTTCTTCATCTGGAAGGCTTTCGCCTCAGACAGCTGGCTGCCGGGTGACTGGTCACATTGCATTCGGGGCATGACTGGTGGCATCGTTTGACAAACGTTGGTTCCCTGATCCCATGTTGCAAGAATGGTTCCCCTCAATTTTAGAACTGGTTTTCGACTAGTCTTAAGCATTGAAGTGTTGACTGATGGCATGGTTGGTGACACGGTGCTTGCCGCTGCATTTCGGATTTGACACAGAGCTTGACATGTAATCATTTCTCGTTTGACGATTTCTCACTTGACATGCCCCTCATCTCCCAATTGGATGTGGGTCAAAATTAAACCACCAGGTGAACGCAGGTCTACTTTTTCATTCTAGCTTGTTCAAAACCAATTCCCAAATGATTAGCGGATTGCGGAATATTACGCGGTTTACGGATTAGATTGTGCGGATTGCGGAGTATGGGTTGCCGTTGCCTGGATTTCCCATGCTCCAGCTAATACGTGTTTGACCCACAGTTTGTAGCGCGGAGTACGGATTAAGAAGATTACAACCAGAACAAGGATTAGGCGGATTACAGATTGTGATTAGGCCCGCTTGGATTTCGATCTTTGCCCTCATCATGAAGCGCCCTGCTGCTGCGGAGATCAGCACTGCGCGGGAGGACTTCTTGACGGTTTTTCGGACGGAGGCTGGCTCGTTGAAAATGTTTTTCCAAATGATGTCCACCAAAAGGGGCTCTAATTTCAATTCCATGCCCATGTGTCTTAAACATGGCATGCACATGTGCAATGTTTTAAAGACCGGCTCCTTTGGCTTGCAGGGATGGTCAACCTCGCGTTTTTTTGTGTGTTTGCGCCCCCTTAGGATGTGCCAGTTTTCCCGAAGAAGAGCGATGGCTCCATCAAGAAGCCTCGCGTCCGCTCTGCGCAGAGCTTCGGGCGGGTGACGGCCCATCAGCAGGCGCACATGCTCGCGCGCCTTATCCTTGGAATAACATATTTTTGTGTGTTTGCTTTGAAAGAAAATTCAAGACACTTTACTCCATTTCCTTAGGCATCTTGACTCTTCCGCCTAACAGGTACATGGTGGAGACATCAGACTACCCGGACTTTGAGGAGGTGGCCGAGGTGGAAGAGATCCGGATTTTGGCTGGCCGCCTGCGAAGCACTGTGAAGGAAGTTGCGGAGGCGCTGGCTGCGGTCTGCAAGTGGGACCCACGGGACGGTGGCGACGCTTCCCCAGAATAGTCCTCTTTCTTTTTTTTGAGCTGTCGTCTCCTTTGTTTTCCACTAACCAGGCAAACATGTAGTTGTTTTTGCCAGGGTCCTAACTCCAGCCAAGGATGAGAACAATGCATTTGATCGAGCCTGCCGCATGGCGTTCATTGTGAACACGAGCCTGGATGACCAGGAGGAGGATTGACATCGCGCCTGGTTGCTATGGCCCCTTGCTGGCACCGCTGAAACGCACTTTACTTAGCGAACAGCAGAAGCTTTCAGCGACACCAATGAAGGGCGCAGCGAGATTGATGTGTTTTTGATGGGCGCAAGCCTGAGTAGAGGGTCACTGGGCATGCGTGGCGAAACTCACACGGGTGTGGCTCAAATTTCAGGAGCTATAGGGAAATAATTGTGGTGCATTTTTTGAGCCATAGCCACATCACCATCATGTCAATGGCACTGCATAGCTGGATATAGCTTGGGTTTCGCCTGCATTGCTTGCATGGGCCGTGTGGCCGATACTTGTGTGGGCTGTGGCTGTTCCAGGAAAAAATCTGCGCCAAAGCCGACAAGATTCTCTCATGCGGTTCATTACTCAAGTTTGTGTCATGAGTGGGCACAATGGTTGCATGTTGACATGTCATGCATTCAGCCAATTGGGGTTGTTGATTTGATTGATGGCTTGACGGTCAGCGTATGATGCTGCAATCGATAGTCAGTGTATGTTCGCTTGACGATCACAGAGTGTTTTGATCCTTGTGCCCAGGCCTGGACGAGCAGCAAGGCCCGGAGTGTCTCAAGCGCAGCCTCAGCCACAAGGCAGGTGAGGTGGAACATGAGGTCAGTGGTGAAAGCTCAGCATGAGGAGATTGTGCAGGTGCAGACGTCACAAACATATTTTCCAATAACATGGCGTTGGGAAACCATGCAGGGCACACTCAGCTCTAAAACTAAGGGGGCCAATGTCGGAAGCATGAGCAACTTGAGCAGCTGTGGGTCTCTTTCAAGGCATTTGCTCAAAGAATTGTTTTCAGCCTTGCGCCAGGCCTGGACTTGCGGGGAGCCCGGAGTGTTTCAAGTGCAGCCACAGCCATGAGGCAGGTGAGGGCATGCATGAGGTCAGGGCTCAGAGAAATGTAGAAATTGTTCTTCGTTGAGGGGTTGTCAAAGAAGGGAAGCTTTTTTTGACAATTACCCAAGGTGTGAGCGAAACTTTATCATGTTCAAACACAGAATGTGGGGGAGAACAGGAATCCCTACTAACCCCTACTGAAACCCTTCGCACAGGTTCATGACCCTTTATTAATCCCCTACTAACCAGGTTGTTCCATTAAACCAGCCAGAGCGCCCAGGCATTGGACGAGATGATGCTTGGACGAGCAGGGAGCCCTGGAGGTACACATGAGGCAGCCACAGTCATCGCCATGAGCACAGGCGCGGGACAAACCTGGCGTTTGGAAATCAGTGCTTGCAGGGCATGCCAGCTGTAGAACTGAAAGGGGCCAATATAGAAGCGCGTTGGATTTTAGTAGTGTTGGGTCTCTTTCAAGGCATGTTCAGCTCAGAACTGGGTACGCTGCAGATTTCAAGTGTTTGGGTGGTCAGGTGTGCCAGTGCATGTGTTTGATTTCCTGTCCCTGTTTCTATGAAGTGGCACTGGCAAAAGCAGTTGACAAGACACATTTGTCAAAAAAGATAGAGGGTGGCAGAAGGTGGCAACCAGTCCAGTGCTTGGCGTTGCTGAGGCCTTGCCTGCAGAACCGAAGCGTGACGGCCGCAGTCGCTTGTGGGTTCTGATGTTTGGGGCGTGGGTTCATTCTGTTGTTGCACTCATCAACCCAGCCAAAGATCCGCTTGACTAATGCCTCAATGTTAGATGAATATTCTTCCACTTGCTGTGGATTACAAGGAGGCCATTGCTAGAAGTTGACAGGGAGATATGTTGACACTGCACCACCTTAAAGGGAAAAAACAGCTAAGTGGCAAGGGGTACATGCAGATTAACAATGCACTCTTGGCAAAGGAAAACACGAGTCAGCTTGTGGAAGCAAATATGGGCATTGTCATTGTCGACAGATGGGGGTTTCAAGTTTATTGCGCAGGATTGCGAAAGCCCAAGAGCATCAGGTTTACCCGTTGGAAATTGAGGGGCTGTCACTGAGCGCCCCGACTTTGTATTGCCATGGCAACTGTATCCTGTCAAATCGGGGATTGACGATGGACGATTGACGTTTGACGATTGACGATTGCATCCTTACGATTGACGATTGACCACTGACGATTAACAATTGTTTGTCCCAGGCTTGCACTAGATTTTGAACCCTGGGCAATTTGATCATTTGTGTGGGGTCCAAAAAGGGCTCAGAGCGGGAGTGGCACAAGTCCAAGCATTCCCTTACCACTCGGCCAGGCCCTAATCCTTTTGACCCTTTTTGGAGGGAGCTTCAATTTATGGGGCAACCAAGGAATGTGGAAGCGTTTTGTGGGAGAACCCCTTTTTGTTTCCCCAG